CTCTCCCACCCGCCACCCGTCAGCAGCACCAAAGGGGAGCAGGTCCATCACTATCGCTCCTTGTCAGGGACCTGGGGGATGAATCTGAAGTCAGGGGGGAAAAAAAAACCAAACCCAAACCAAAACCGACCCCAAACCAAACCCAAACAACAACAAGAAGGAAAAAAAAAAAAAGTAGCGATTTTTTTTTCTTTTTTAAAGTTCACGGGGAGGAATTAAAAAAAAAAAAAAAGGATGATCTCACTTTTACGGTAAGATCAAAAAAAAAATCTCTCCACTCGCCCCCATTCTTCGAGATTTGGGATAATTCCAAATACCTGACTAAGTGCAGATGTTGTTGCGTCTTCACATCTTATAAAGCCGCCGCGCCGCTCTTTTGCTCTTGCTTCCCTTTTCAAGTTGCAGGAAATTCAAACAGTTTACATGACGGGTGGAGGAAGGTTTGGGATTTTTGGGGGGTGTTTTTTTTGGATTATTATTGTTATGAGGTTTTGTTTTTTTTTAAGATGATCTTTAGGATGAAAAAAAAAAAAAATAGTCGCAGTCGGCTAAAGTCCCCGGGAAATTGCTACTGTTGGGGGAAACGAAACATTTCTTGCAAACAAGAAAATGGTGAGTTGTCAATTGCCGCTTCTGCTGCCAAATTCGCTCAGTTCCATCTCATTGATACTCGCCGGTCGCTCCGCGCAGTTACAGTATCTGCTCACAGAAGGAGCGATCAGATCTACTTAAGAGACGACACCGAGACGTGTGTGTGTGTCCCCCACCCCCCCCAAAAAAAAAACAACCCCTCTCCCTGTGTGTGTGTGTGTGCAGCAGGACGGGGCGCGGGTTGCTGCGCGGCTGGCAGCCCGGGTGCGGGCGGGCTCCGCGGTGCATGCCGCTAGATCCGCCCTAACATCTGTCCGTCTCACCATTGGCGCATCCATCAGTGTCACCCCGGGCTGCACATCGCAACAACAACACATCAGACAGACACAACGCAGAGCGGGATTCGGTACAAATAACCCGACATACTAAACAACTTAACCGGGAAGGAGGGGACCAGCCGCAGCGTTAAGTATTTACAAATGTTAGACAGCCTCGGAAAAAACAGAGCGGGGCTCGGCTGCGATTAATAACCCGCTCTTCCTCTCTCCCTCCTCCCCTTTTAAGTGGGAATTAGCAAAAAGAAAACCTAAATAATTTACGGCCCCACCACCACCACCACCCACCCACCCCCTCGGAGGACGCGGCCGCGGGTCGCTCCGCCCGGTTGCGCTGCCGGGGGCTGCGGGACCCGGGGAGAGGGAGCTGCGGGGGCGGGGGGGGGAAGATGTGCTGGTGGCCGAGCCGGCAGGAGCTACGCAACATGGAGGATTTCTCCCAGCTCTGGATGAAACAAACTTTGGGAGACTCGGTGGGGAAGCGGGAGCCCCGGCCGACTCCCGGGGGCCGCACCGGGGACGGGAGGATGCCGGGGCTCCCGGTTCCCAGGGCCAGCGTGCCGCCAGGAGCGGATAAAAGCGCTGGGAATTACAGCAAAAATAAAAGTGCTAAGGCGTGTTTAGCCATTTAGGTCCCGCAAAGGCTACTCTTAAATGTGCCAGCGTCCTCTCCAAAGCCAGGAATTGTTCTTGCTCGCCATTACCCGGCTGCAGAGCATCCTGAGGAAAACGCTGCAGCGGCCAATGGCTAATTTTAAGGGGGTGGCAAGTTGCAAGAACTTTTTTTTTTCTTTTTTTTTTTCCCTTTTCTTTTTCTTTTTTTTTTCCCCCTTCCACCTCCCTGTCTCTAAAATCTCACCTTTCACTAGCTCTGCTTTACACCCGATGCGGGGCCGAGGCTCGGTTCGGGTTAGGCTGAGCCCCACCGTCCTCCTCCTCCCTCTGTCCCACGAAGTTAGGAATTTAGTGGCGTGTGTATTTTTAACAGATTTCCCTCACAGAGCTCTCTCTTCTCCCTCTCTCGCAGGAGCGCAGCCTGCGCGGAAGATGCTGGCAGGTTGCAACCCCCGGCAGCTGAACGGTGTCACAAACGTTTGCGAGGGGAAAAAGGGAAAAAAAAATAAATCAAAAAACCCAAAAAACCCACCAACCCCACAAGCCAGCCCTGCCTGTGCGGAGGATGGTGTAACAACGCTCACCTGGCTTCTCAAAGGGCGGGCCACAAGCGCTGGCAGTGGAGGGTGATGGGCACCCCCCATCTGGGATTGGGGGGTGTGAATGAGAGAAAGTTAAACTTCCCGTAAACAGTAATTGGAGGAACTTTCTCAGTTCAATTAGGAATAATAACTCCTGTGTGTGTGAGAGAGAGAGAGAAAGAGGCAGCAGACATACGTGCGCACAGACACATGCACTGCACTTACACATTCACAACTCTTAGTGCCAAAACGCTCAGGAAGTTGTGGAATAATTTGGTTGTTAACTACATCCAGTTTTTTAAGGAAGGAAAAAAAAAAAATTAATCTATTGAACTTTCTATCAGACGAGTTATAGAGAGGGAAATGCGGATTCCTTCATGTGCACCAGCTTCTCTGGGGGTCACAGTCTATTTCAGAGAGCCAGAACCCGTAATTTTATTAAGTGTAACATTTACAAACATACTGCGTAAAATCGATGACTGTACAGACTCCATCTACAAAGACTCAGCACATCAGGCTCAGCCCTAAGCTGGCTCTTCCCGGCAGTTTTAAACCAAGGTACCAATTATTTATAAGTCCCATAATTAGATAACCATCACTCCTGAACTTTCCAGCAGCTAAGGATGTTTTATATTTCAACACCGTGCACCGTTCTGTGCCCTTCTTTGTTGTCTATTTTCGCTGCTCATTGCATTCCCCGACATGAAAACTCCAAGAGATTCCCAAAAAATCCCTCCCGCCGCCCAGGTCGGAGGGGAGGCAGCGGGTTTGAGCTGCTGAAGGGACCATGGAAATGAAGTGTTGGTTATGGGAATGGCCGGAGAGGAGCCGTAAGGAAGTTTATTCAACTTGGAACAGCTGCCTCTTGGAAAACAGCGTGTTTCAGGCTTTTTAACCTTTCTCTCTCCCGAGCAGCCCGCGGAGGTTTCGCCACTCGTTCCTTTGCAACCAAGGAAGGGAGAAGCGTCCGTCGAGGTCCCCACGAGGTGTGCGTGCGTGGCTGCCGGCGGAGCCTCATTAGTTACCATCGCTTGATTGCTTTTCCAGGGGGTCAAACCCGTTGGGCTGAACCGCTCCATCCCCGGCCGCTCCGCTCCCGCCCCGGCTCCTCCACCCGGAGCCGGTGGGGTCGTCGCCGGCCCCGCATCCCCCGGACAGGCGGGGAGGGCCGGGCATCAGCCAGCTGGGGCCTTTCCGAGGCAGCGGGAGCCCCGCCGGGCGCGGAGCGGGATGCGGAGGGAGGAGGCGGTGCGGCCGGGGCCGGGCCGGTGGGGGCCGGGCTGGCGGCGGCGGCGGGAGAGGGGGGGGCAAGCCCCGGGAGAAGGGGCGGCCGCCAACAGCTCCTCCCGGGGCAGAGACACGGCCGTGGGCTCCGGGAGCAGCGCGGGAGGAGCCGCCGCGGAGCGGGCGCGGAGAAGCGCGGAATCCGCAGCCGCGCCGGGCACCCCCAGCGCTGCCTCCTGTCCCAGGGAAAAAAAAAATAAAAAACACCAAAAAACCCCAAAACAAAACCAACACAACATCCCCCCCCTCCTCCTCCTTCCCAACGCCTCGGTGGCACCCCATCGAAACGCAAAAAAGTGTGCGGAAAAAAAAAGTACTGGGGTTTCTCCCGGCGGAGAACAAAGAAGGAACAGTTTTCATTAAGGCTGGACGAGATGAATATGGATCTGACAAGTTTGTTTAAAAACACCACTGCCCACGACCGAAAACGATACTCCGCTTTTGTAAAATACAAAGTGTTGTCAATATCCATTATAACAGCAGTAATAATCCGAGAGGAGAACAAAGACGTTTTGTAATATCTACATAACTTTATTAGAGCAAAATTATTTTAAAATGCCTATGAATTCCCAAACCTCCCGAATACAAATGAATAAAAGTTTTTCTTCGGGCTAAAATCTTTGCTTGAATGTAAATTGTTTGGGTAAGTAAATTTACACAGCAGCAAAGTTTGTTTGTCTTAGTCCAGTAGCTTTGCTTTAACGAACCAGATGTTTTGTCTGTAAATTGTCCAGAGGACTTTTACAGTTCTGACATGGAACAAGCCTCCGAAAATCCGAACTGGGCGAGCAGTGACCTCGCCATCGGGACCAGGCGTTTCGGAAAGAGCAGGGGGAAAACAGATAGAGAAGTGTAAGCACCCCCAGCGCCTTCGGACTTTGAAGCAATCCCTCTAAACTGTAGGTAATCTGCTCCCAATCGATTCGCTTCCAGCTGGGGCTAAAAGTAATTCCCCAGCTAACCCCGGGTATCAGAAGTGTGTCCCCCTCCCAAAGAGAAAAAAAAAAAAATAAAGAAAGAAATAAAATCAAAACAGACCACAGTGTGTGTGTGTTGGGGGGGGGGGAAACTTTGTCTGAGGAAGCCGCAGGGCGCTGCGAGGGA